CTATATACTATATATATATTTACTATATAGTATGTATATATATACATAGCCTCCTGATGAGTCGGTGAAACTCCGACGAAACAGTTTGTCACAGCCCCTCGTTTGTTGTCCTCTTCTCTCTCTCTGCCTACGGTTTACCGGGCTGTTCTGTTTGTGACGATATATATATTATATACATCACTGCCTCTCGTTTGTTGTCCTCTTCTCTCCCTCTCTGCCGACGTTACACCCGTAGCCAGTTCTGTTTGACGATATATATGCACATGTAAGTTGATGTAACCGAAATGGCACACACATGTAACTGACTGTTGACGAAATGATCATGAGTTCAAACTTCACACTTTACAGTTAAAACCACAGGGAAGATATATACGTTCTACTGAGTCTACTGACTCTACCCACATCACGAGTCACATGAAATCGACATGCAATGGCATTTGCATCACTTGTGCTCCTTTGAAAATCCTGAACGTCCCTCTCTTCTAAACATCGTAAGGAGGAAATGGTATTTCATAATCTCACGCAGCCCTTCTCCTGCGTGTTTTCTGATATGTTTTCTCACATCCTGCACTTTCCAAATCTGCTCTTTTCTCTCACATCCTGCACTTTCCGAATCTGTTTCCTTGCGTCCTGCGCTTTCCAAATCCGCTCTTTTCTCTCACATCCTGCACTTTCCAGATCTGTTTCCTCGCGTCCTGCACTTTCCCAAACTGATCTTTTCTCTCACATCCTGCACTTTCCAAATCTGATTGCAACTTTCCGTGTATACTCACTCTCTGGGGAAATGGCTGGGGGTAGCAGAATTTTCAATGTTAACAATTTTGAATTTCCAGAATTTTGAAATTTACTAGGTTACTAGGTCCACCTGGGCAATCCGGGTTGGCCTGAAACTCACTTTTGTTTTTGCCCCCCCCTGATTGCACTGTGTGAATGCACTTGTCGGAAGCATGCAGAATCTGCCTTTTTTTTTATAATTTGGGAACTTGAATTGGGAGGGGGGGGGAGAAGCGTGGGGGCATGGGGTTTGCAAAGGATTTAAAATTGGATTTAGAGGGGTTCAAACTTCGAAGTTCAAAATTTAAAGAGGTATATTTTGACTATTACTGAGTCCCTTTCTATTATTATTATTATTTTTAATCTTGAAAATAAAGGCGCATTTGGAGATGACCTTCAGCCAAAACTTGTTTGTAATATCATTTTACAAATTTACACAACATATGTTTTTTTCCCGGATTTTTTTTGTTTTCCTTTAACATTATTATTATTATTATTATTTACTATATATATATACAGGGTATCCGGCGTTCAGGACGGGCCGAACGCCCGAACCCGAACACCCGAACGTATGGGACCCCTTGGGGATGCGTTCGGCCGTTCGGGCCGAACGCGGACCCAAAAAAAAAAAAAAAAAGTCATCAAAAAAATCTGAAAAACGATATGTTATGGAGAAAAATAAATTAAACAACATTTGCCTGAGCATTACATCCGAATTCCTTACCAAATTTGAAATAAAAGTAAAATAGTAAAATACTAATAATAAAAATAAATAAAAATAAAAAGAGAATTAATTTTAGTGAGTGCGCGAGCATGTTTTCGACACCGCCATCTTTGGCGATTTTTCATTTTTTTTGGGCATAGCTAAATGCCCTGAAAATTTACAGATGTTTACTTCACATAATACAAAACCCACTTAAAAAGTTTCAAAAAATAATAAAATTTTTTAGACCCCGAACTAAAGTGAAAACAAAAAGTAAAAAGTGAAAAAATACGTGGGCGAGCACGTTTTGACACCGCCATCTTTGGCGATTTTTAATTCTTATTTGGATTAGCCAAATGACTTGAAAATTTACAGGCATGTACCTCACGTCATAGAGAACTCCCAAAAAACAATTCAGAAACAAATAATTATTTTTAGGCCCCGAAATAATTTTTGGCGGGGGCCCCGAACGCCCGTACGTACGGAGGTCTGCCCGGGGACCTCCGTACGTACGGGCTGGTGTTTTTATTTTTTTCGTGCTGGGACTGCTCGTCACCTTGCCCAGGGGTGGCCCGGCTGGGATCCAGGCAGACCCTAGGGTCCGGGACCGCCAGGACTGTAACATAGGAGTTTTCAGCATTGATCCCCCCATCTACAACTCTGTACCACATGTTACACTTAGGAGTAAGGTTGAATCGAACTAACAACTGAGCCTTCAAGCTGCATGATCCTGCATCTGTCTCCAAATTCACCCTGAATACAGCGGCTATTACAGCCATAATGACCATGCTTCATATGGAGTGAGAAGTGGGGAAGGGGGGAAAGCTTCATTCAGCAGTGGCCTTTCTCTCCGGACTGCTCATGACAACTCCCAGCCAAATTTAGGAGTAATTTTGGCAAGGAGTATGTGCTTGTTAGCCGTGAACACTCAACACAGAAAAGAAAACAAAAAAAGAAAAAGAATTTTGAACTGTGCTGGTCCCCGGGCGGCCCGACTGGGAGAAGGTCGCCCGGGTGCCCTCCCGGGCGGCCCGGGGCAGGCAGGGTCCGGCCAGGGTCCCGGGCAGTCCCAGGGCATTTGAAAAAAAAAAAAAAAAACGAAAAAAAAATGTTGTGTAAAATTGCAATACAAACAACTTTTGGCTGAGGGCCACCTCGAAGTTCCTTGCTAATTTTAAGAAAAAAAATAAAAAATAGATGGGAAAACATGAGTCAAAATGTACCCTTTTTAAACCCCTTTAGTCACTGTTTATACCCCCAAACCCCCCTGGATGACCCATCACCAACATCGAAGTCAAGACCGGATTCTGACTGCTTAGGCCTGAAGTCGTTTTTTTTAGTGGGGGGATCCTTGCCTCTTTTTTGACCCGTCTGGTTTTGCCAGGCGACCCCCACTCTGCCCAACTGGCCCGGGCGTGCCAGGCCGGGCGACGGCCCAGCATAGATTTTGGACTCGTTTACTCTCGTGCAATCAGACTCCCTTTCTTCTTCACTTCGCAAATATGCAAACAGATGGTAATTCACACTGGCGCTATGCGCCCACACAAAGCTCAGAGATAATCAAGCTGCGAACACAGTTCAGATACAAACTCGCTTCCACTCAGCTATGGCGCCTGAGCGCCCTCACATTCTCTGTTGCCCCTGTGTTCACCCAACTGTTCACACGCATTCGACTCAGGATCTCCCTGGATATCCCACACACACAACTCAGTATAAACACACGCACACACTGATGTCTATCACTACACTACAGCGGCTATGGTCGCTCTACCACTACTGGCTTTGAATGAGCTATCCCCTTTCAGCCCACTTCGACTTCGGGCATCTGCAGACCACCTCACACAAGTCGCCTGGCAGCGCTTCCGCATGGCTTACGCAGGAATGAATGAATGGCTGGACGCTGCCTCTTGATTTATACTTCGGTAAGTCGCTGGTCTGCCCTTTTCCACCGGGCCCATGGTGCACACAGTCCCTCATGGTACTTGCTGACTGTGCAAAGTGAGACTGGGACTGGGTACCGCTGACTAAGCGAAGTTGGACTCACCACTTGCCCACTTGCCTCTGGTCTGCTGTGAATAACGTGAGAAGAAACTTGAAAGGCCACTTCCGGACCTTCCGGAAGTCTGTGGACTTGGCCTTTCAGGACTGTAGCAGCTACGGCCTTGACCTTTCAGGACTGTAGCAGCTACGGCCTCTACACAACTATGACCCCTAGTCAACAGATCTACAGATCGAACCCCTAGTGCTACACAGACCTACGACAAGCAACAGTCAACTACCAAAACACAGATCACGGGTTCAAACACGCAGGGGTACTGTACACGGGTGAGGTGAGGTCTGGGGATCGAACCCTGGGATCTGCATTTGTCGCTGCGAAGGTGAAAACCGTTTCACTCGTTTTCATTATTTCTGTTTGGACTTCTGGCCAAGGGTGCCAGTTCGATCCCATGCGTGCACAAATGGGCCTGAGGCCAGAAAGTATGGATCCATAACTTCTATGGAACCTGCAGACAGTTTAAAGCCCTGTTTGAGTGACTGGGCAAAGGAGCAGTGGAGGTCACATGCTGATTGGAGTGAAGTGCACAAGCACTGCCGCATCCGTGCAGTGTTGTGGGTGTGTGTGACTGTGAGTAAGGACACTAGAGCCTGTCAGATCAGTCAGATGAAACAGGTGCTAAGCCTCTCTCTCTCTCTCTCTCTCTCTCTCTCTCTCTCTCTCTCTCTCTCTCTCTCTCTCTCTCT